CGGCCAGTCCAACGGGAAAGTTGGGTTGGCCCGACGTCCTGAACTCCGGTAGTACCCCACGGCACTCGGCGCGTCTATCTGAGCCGTCGGTCCAGACCAACGGCCTGGATCTCGGGTCCTAAGATATTAAGACCGCATTTATCCAGGCCGTCGGTCTGGTAGGACCCAACGGCCCAGATGGCAGATTTGTTACATGGTTCGATCGATCTGGGCCGTGGGCCGGTAGGACCGACGACGGCCCGGATTTCAGATTTGTCACGTTAGCGATTTTAATAGATTAGGGAAGAGAACATAAAAAGTCAAAAAGAAAAGATGATAAACCCAATCAGGAGAACACTATCTGGTGCAGATGATAAATCCAATCAGGAGATGTAGGTGACACTCTGCGGGTTGGACGACACTCTGTGAGGCAGGTCATAATATGTGGAATGGGTGGCACCATGTGGCTTGGGAAGCACAGTGTGGCGTATGCGGCAATGCTTAGTGGGCAGAGTGGTAGAAACTACCCAAGAAACAGATGGCAGTATGTGGCTCGATCCACCACTCACAACATACACAAAGCAAATACTGGTGTATCTTTCCGTGCTAAAGAAGAAGATTGATTCTCATTTTGCACATTTCGTGAGTGGTGGAGCGAGGCCCTGTGGACACGCCAGTAGTTCTTTTGTGGGTAGAAACCGCCCAAGAAAACAAAAAAACAAAAACACAGAAATAAGGCAAGCACCAAGTGGCCTAGCTCAGTCAGTACACCCCTTACAAACAGACTTTGAAACTCACCGAAGAAAATCATTGACATACTACATTCTAAATTACATAATATCTCAAGCCCTGCACCCTCTTGGGGGGGGGGGGGGGAAAAGGAAAAAAAAAAAGAGAGAAAGAGAGAGAGAGAGAGAGAGAGAGAGAGAGAGAGAGAGAGAGCTTCTCTCTTACCGATAGCGTCTCCTACGGTAGGGGGGGGGGGAATAGTGAAAAAAAACAGAAAAACAAAACGCAGGCAAGCACACATTGCTAATGGTACGCCCACCAACTGTGGACAGGCAGACCTGAGCTCAAACGCTCCCGAGAAGCAAGAAAACGAATCCCCCCCAAAAATATACTTTTGGCCGACCGCCTTGCTATGCACTTGCATTTGAAAATGAGGGCGCACCAGAGCCCCGTGACAAACAACGCGAGATAGGAAAAGTGGGCTGGTAAACAACACAAAGGACAGCAGCAGAAAAAGGGACCAGCAGAAGGCGCTCCAAAATAACACAAAGGCTCAAAAATGAAGAGGGGCGATGAAGGACCGTAAAAAAAGGAGCTTGTGCGGAAGGGGCTGCGAGACAACACCCATGCGAAGAGCAAAAGCAACAAAAAAAGCAAAAAACAAAAAGGGCAGCACGTGAGCGACAAAAAAGGGAAATGTGTGCCCACTGCATTGGGCCCACAACACTTTGCCAAGAGTGCCACGGAGGTCTCGCATGGGACAATTATGTGAGACCCGCTGATGTCATTGCCAGGAAAACCTCCATTACTAGCAAGATTGTGCAGAAAATTTTATCTCCTTGTAATAGGCATAAAGTGCCATAAACTTATGAAGTCTACATTACCAGAGTGGTCTGGAATCTCGCATGGGACAATTATGTGAGACCCGCTAATGTCATTGCCAGGAAAACCTCCATTACTAGCAAGATTGTGCAGAAAATTTTATCTCCTTGTAATAGGCATGAAGTGCCATAAACTTATGAAGTGTACATTACCAGAGTTGTCTGGAACATTTGGCAAAGACTGGCAGACGTTGTCCACTTTATTTTGCTGCAAAACATAGTTTTTCGTCAGATTTCTTGTGTTTTTCTTCAGATTAGTGTTTTTTTTATTTTTTGCAGGGACCTTCCTAGCTCTCGCCCAGCCACCCGGGCAACCAAGGTGATCAGTGCACCCCAGCTGGCAACCCGGTATAACATAAGAGTCCTTTATGTTAAAGCAGCCAGAACTTAGAAGCGCTATACATTGTAAAAACTTTGGCATAAAGCTAAAACTATCAGAAATACATTGATGGTCAACATTACATAAATAAATCACCTTATCTGTCCTTGAAGTCAAAAGCACCAACAGTCTCAACACGGAATACCAACAGTCTCAACACGGAATAATGTGCGGTTGTCATTGAAGAAGATATCGCAATCAAAATTCACAAACTAAAGTCAACCAGAAACAGGCTCAACATTCACGCAAACAGTCTCAAACTGCGCAGGAAACAAACCTGGTTATCGGAAGTTAAAAAGCTGAAGAGTCGTGGCATATGAGATGAACCCTCACCTGCACACTCAACAAAACACACGAGCGCCGCCAAGAGTAATGAGAATATGATTTCACAAGAGAGTTCAGGGTGACACTCTTCAGACGATTCCAGAGACCGAGGAGCGGAAACCGTCGTTCGTACACTGCAGCAAAACCATAATGATTCATACACCTCCGGCACTTCTCACTCCGTTCCCTCTACAATTCCTTCGTGATTCTTTCCATGACCATTTCAATTTGTACTTCAACATTTAACAAATGTTCTGCCGAAGGTTGAGTGCATAATGACTTGTCACTACAAAACTGCAAGGAACCGTGCCAATAAGGTGTGGGGTACCGTGCACACACATATGACCACTTCATGCTTATGTTGAAACTAAGGAAGACCAGAAGATATCGACTTCAATGCCCATGTGCCCAACGAATTCACACGTTCCCATTCACGCATGCCATTGCAGAGTAGACTCGAAGGAGGCAAACCCACACAAAACCGGAGAGAAGATATGCACAGCGGAAGCTCAAATTCGCAGAGAATTGAAAAACGAAGTTCAATTCTGAAATCCCCCGTCCTCCTCCAATCAATCCAGAGTACTTGTTCCAAGAATAACAACCCGCGTTTACAACGAAGTATGCAGGATTCTTTTTCTTCCTCCTCGCCACCTCATACCCCTGGCTATGGAAGTCCTGATGAAGAAGGAGACAACCAATCCAGAACTTATGAAGGAGTTCCTCGTGAGGAGGAACAGCAGATATGGCTGCCAAGTGGAAAATGGCAGCACCACCCAACAACACAGTCCTGTGGAAGCTCTCATGCAGAGCTGCGAAAGAGCAGCAGTGCAATCTTCAACTTCGTTTCCCAACCCCAGCTATGGCTGGGCTTCGAGGAAGAAGATGACCTCGCCCAAAATAGCGCAGCAGCGCTCCGACAATGGACAGGCAGAGTTTCCCCAGTCGCACGAAACAAGAAATGACCCGAACCAAATTTCCTGCCCACTACTTCCACCCTCTGCCTAGACCTACGACGGACTCCAAAGGCAACAACCCAAGTCTGTATCTAGATGGAAACAGGGGGAAAAAGGGACCTAGACCTACGACAAGGCAAATGGAAAATGCCGAACGGCCTAGGACTACCAAACAGAGACTACTAGTGACAGACTCAGGGATCAAGTCAATACGGCTTAACGCTCACAAGCAAAACACAGAGGTTACAGGTCATGGGATCAAGTTCTGCAAGGCTCAAAACAAGAAAACAAACTACAAAGCTGAACACGAGTACAGTCCCACTGGGAAACTGCATTTTTTTGTATGTGAACGACTGCATGCTTAGATCCACAGGCGCGTGCATGAGTACATATGTGAGACAGCTGCATGTGAGTGAATTCATGTTTCAGTTCACAGGCATACAGGTGGTGCATATGCGAGTCGGCATGTTCGAGCCCTCTTAAATGAGCAACAATTGAAACCGGATGCAAGGCCTGCCAATGCTGCGATGCTCAGTCGACTCCTGCACCTTGAAAAGAGAGCTGGCAACTCTCTGAATTCGAGCGGAAAGGTACAGGGAAGAAAGCCACGACGAACTATTGAACAAGTGCAAGCTTCGCTACCCGAACGTTACGAGTACTGACCACGAGCGTGCAAGTCGGAAGGCTTCAGTGCCCATAAAATCCAATTTGAGTGTGAGATCCGGCATCTTTGAGTGTGTGAGCCAGCATGTTGCGGCCCGACGCGTTGAAGTGCTGATGGAGCGGTTCCGTTCAAGCTTTTCAGCCAATCATCAGGAGCTGCATGTGTTGTGGTTGAATGTGTTGTGTTGCCACTGAATGTCGAATGGCCATGCTTCCTATGGACATGGTTCCTCGTGAAATGAAGGTTCCTCCCATCCATATGTAGTGTGATATCATGCGAAGTGCTCAAACACTCATCTTAAAAACCACGGGTTGCCTTCCGGACATCCGTTAAAATTGGAACAATACAGAGAAGATAAGCATGAAAAAAAAAAGCACAGTTGCATAGAAACATAGACCAATCAAGTCCGCAGTCGACAGCAGCCTCATTATTCCCTACTTTGACACCGCACGTGAAAACTGAATGGTCGGCATATTGGAACCCCCCACCATCTTCCCACCCCTTTCCACCTAGGTGTGTCTGTTCCAGCCTCCAGGACCACCACAGCGAAAGCTTATAACGGTGATGCAACCCCATCACATACACTTCCACCATTCCCAGTCGAACTCCAAGAGAGAGACATACCACCTGTCCCCCAGCAACAATAGCCCGTAGGAAACATCCTCCTCTCCTCTAGCAGTCCTCAGTACAGCTGACCCTAACACACCGACCCTGGCCTTCTGACCCAACACATCCATTCGGTTGGGTGCAGTTACATTTTCAGGGGCAATTATTTTTTCCCTGACATGCTTGAACCTACCATAGATCCCTGCTTTTTTCACATTTGTTATCAACGGAAAGAGCATTTATAATCTCCAAAGTGCCCGACCCCCTTTCAACCCCCCCATTCAGCCACATGAACTGCGTGCCTCAGTCACAACCTAAGGAGTACAAATGAAAAATCCTGCAAATAATCAACTCCATTCCCAGCCAACCATAGAGCACATCACCAAAGAACAGTCCTATCCTGCCAAGAGACCTACCTGCAACTGCACTCGCAACAGCTGCAGCAGCCGCAGGTGATGCTTTGCCGAATTGGCTAGATACTGCCTCTGCTAGCCGCAATAGAAAGGACCCAAAACAAACAGGGAATTCCCGTCAGAACATGGATTATAAATATGCATAAGCAGCGCAACACCATCAGACGACCATGGCAAAGAGTCACCAGCAGTAAATTCACACCTCCCAGCCGTCCGCTCCAGTCGACATGCACGCACCACCTATCAGCAGCGGCAGCCGCCTAGTCGAAGAGATGAAAATGCGAAAATAAAGTCAATGGCATACTAGACAACGAGTAATGTTCAGGGTCGGCACAGTAATTGCAACATGCTACCCGGCCTAGATTTGCGCATATTAAAAGAAAATGCAAAAAAGACGAAAAGAAACACTAGAAAACCACATTTCCCTTTAGATCAAAGCACAACACAGAATCCGAAAGCAAAGCAGCACCGAGTAGATATTCGGCCGTTCATTCCCACCCTATTTCCAATTTGACACCCATGTTTCTTTCTTTCATCTCACACTAGCTTCTCCCTGCCTCTGACACCACAGGATAAACTTCCAATAAACAGTACTCCCCATTCAGCATTGCTTCTCTCATCACAGGTGCATCTAGAACGTCACCACATGTCTCAAACAACGCTTCTCATCAATAAAACACGAAGAGCCTACTTGTGCCGACCTTGCATTTTGCCCACAATCACTTCTGCAGATCCCTCCATAGGTCCTGACACCCTTGACATGACCCCACCTATCTTTGCACAGAGGGGACGAAAAAAACTAATCTCACACCGTCCTACTCTCCATATCATTATCGATTGGCCCGTGAATCACTGCAATCAGTAACGTTGCCAAGGAAGCTCGTTTTCAACCCCGTCCTTCATTTGACATGTCGGCGAGCGCTCCGTCGTGTGATGTGGACTCCAACCCGCGGTCCCTTGTGAGAACAGTGAATTTGTATTTTGGTCGTGTTTGGAACCATTGCATTCAGTGAGTGTGACTGCTGGTTGGGCGGGTAGGCAGATGTGTAGGGCAGAGAAGAGGTGTGGTGGGGGTTTGGCACGGGAAAAACAATGCAAGAAGGGCTAACCAAATAGAGAACAAAAGAAAAAAAGTCGATTGAAAACACAAGGGAAAGATCAGCGGCAGAAAAGAAAGAAAATGCAAAGACTGAGCATTCCGCCAGTGGCTGCCCTTTTCATTGCCCCCCATTCCCAGTCAAATAGCATTAGTGCCTAAGGCTCTCCAACTGACCACACACCGCCCGCTCACACACTCGCACTCCAAACTTGTCCGCAAAAGACCCTGCTGATACCGGTGGACAATCACAGCTGGTTGGCACTAAATGCGCTGCAGGCGGTTATGGCCTCGAACCCACAACCTCCTGAATGCCACTTGCATGTGCAATGACTTGCTGGTTCCAGGCTGCCTGTAGCCTGTCTCTGACGAGGCTGTACTGTAGGTAGGGACAAATTCGTAATTTTGTTTGGCTGAGGACTAACCAAGAGACCTGCCTGTATGGGAAATTCGTGAGGAACATATCTGTAAATATAGAAATATGGGCCCTGTACTAACTCGATTTTCCTACAGCTACCCTAACTGCGAATAGCAGGCCCGGGCTACCCCTAGGACAGACAGGCCCTATGGGCCTATGCTGATAGACGGTCCTATAGCCTATAGCCGGGTAGGGAGAGGCCCTGGAGGCCGAAACAGAAACGGTACCAGTCGGTCAGTCAGTCCGGTCTAGGTCGGTCTAGGCTAGCGTATAGGTAGGATGGGGACACCGGTCCAGGGCATTTGACAGTTGACACTTCGTGTTGGGAGTTGCTGCACACACGGTATCAGGCCGTGGTTGCTGATTCCGGTGCTGGACACGGCGGACATAGCCGGACCTTCGGAGCGTTGACCGGACTGGGGTCAACGCTGTCCGCTCTGACTCTCTGGCAGTCATAGCGGTCTGGGCTATCTGAGGTCTGATGCATTGGAGCACGTGATGCACTGCTGACCCTCCTCAGGAGTAGGGTCCCAGTGGCGATGCAGCCATAGCTGGATCTTCTCAGAGATTCTCATCGTCTGGACTTCATCTTCATCAGGGACTGTTAGCGCTGAGCTTCTTCTTCATCATCTGGATGGCGATTGGCTCTGGGAGCCTGTTTCACTTTGGCGCAGGCCACTGAGTTGGATGTCAGGGTGGCGCTGGGTGTTACCTGGGGTTTCGGTGCTATTTTTAGCTGTTCAGGGTGTTGGGGTTGAGGCGCTACCCCTCTGAGGGTAGAGCAACAGGGTTCTGAGGTTATTCAGTGAAAACGGTGCTCTGAGTTTAATAAACAGTTGTAATACTGTGTTTGAGTTGTCATCTCTTCATTGCTTTCTGGCTGTTATCACTCGGTTGTCTTCCATGAATGATTGTTGGGAATTGTGTGGAGAGAATTCACTGTCTGTGTATTCTGTCACTTCACTCCTTTGAGTCTTCCGCTGCGTTTCTTTCTGTTGGGCGGTGTGATACTCCACTACCTCTCCCCTTCCTTCTGTGCATGTATGGGCGTGTACGGGGGTTCATGTGAGTGAGTGTTGATAAAATCTCAACAGACACTCATGTTCATAACAGTTGGTATCGGAGCAGATCGGACCCAGACAGTGGCGAGATGATGGACTGAGGCAGCCATCACTACCTGAGAGCCTCTGACGTAGGGTTTCGTGGAGAAACTTCATCTTCAGTGTTGCGCTCAGTAGGGTGTTGGTGAAGGGGTGTGGTGATTGGTATGACACAGTGATTGGTGGCGATTCAGTGCTCAGTGGCCTGGGAGGCACTGAGGGGCTATTTTTAGCCCAGGCGTTGACTTCACTGGTGGTGAGATACCTGGGGGTATGTCGAGTTGCAAATTCTGGACCAGGTTCAGTGAATTTGGCTAGTGGGGATTATTCGCCATACCAAGAGGTTCAGTATCACCAAGTTTTAGGAGATTTTGACCGTGGGAGCACCAGGAACAGTGGATGGAAGAAACTGGCGAGATGGCACCCATAGCCAGTTCAGCTTCTTCATGCAGTGTTTTGACCTGAAGTGTGTTCCTTACTCAAGTCTCTGTGGCGAGTCTGGTAGTTGTATTTAGACTGGGGAAACTGGGATTGTATGTCTGTAGTCAGTGAAAATTGAAAATCGCACTGCCTGACAGCCATAGCCATTTCACCTACCTACCTACTTTGACTTCTACTGACTCTGTTTGACCTCCTCTCTATCTCAAATTGCATCTCAGACTGTATTACAGTATTGCAATTCAGTATGCACAGTGAATTGAGTAGTTCAGAGTTTGGATGTCAGTGATAATGAAATTCTGAATATTGCGTTGCCATAGCCAGTACCTGGGGCAGCTAGGGTTTGTCATAACTTAGGTTCTGTCCGTCAGAATTTCAATCTGTCAGTCACCCTGAAATCGCAATTCAGTAATTAGTCAGTGTCTGAAAACGCTATACTGGATTTGATCTTTTGAGTCAGGTACAGTGATATATGTACTTCGCCTCACCTATAGTGGGGCATATAGGGTCATACAGTGCCAGTGTCAGTAGTAGGGGTCTAAAAATAGCTTGTTCAGTCACCCGCTGCATCTTGGTTGACTACTGGGTTCTGGGGATTGCTACTAACTCTCTGCGCTATTCTAATTTGTCTACTTACAGTCCAAGGTTGCATCCTGTCTATCTCTCTGACAGCGATTCTGGGGGTATTGACTCAGATGAGGGTTCTGGGCTATGAATGAAAAATCGCAAATCTGGTTTTATCTGGTTTTAACCTAAACTGACCCAGGACAGCCGTCAGCAACCTACAGAGGCTGAGCGCTCTTCTACTATTACACCACGTCTCTTATCATCAGGTGGCAGTGATTACATCTGTGTGTGTGTGTAATCTTAATCTCTGCTGACCTCTTATCTGCTTGTTTATCTTTATTTGACTGTGTGGGGTGTTTCAATATGTCTGAAGGAAAGACTGAGGCAGAGACTTCTGCCACTCCTGAGCCTCCTCTTTCCCCTCTGGATCAAGCATTGTTGATTGCTGAGGAAGCTAGGCGAAAAGTTGATGAACAGATCGCCAAGCTCAGGAAGGAGAAAGAGGAAGCTGAGGAGGCAGGGAAGCAGGAGGAAACGAGGAGAACTTTTGGGGGAGGTACAGAAAGTTGTTGACAGTGGTTCCGTCAGTGGATACAACAAGAGTATTGTTGAGATGGTCATCTTGAATGACACACTCGGCAGATCTTATTTTCTAACTGGGACCACCGGATCACTGCTGTAGAGAGCCAGGTCTCTGCCATCGAACACAAGGTGGACCAGATGGCAAAGGACCTGACCTCTCTGGCAACAGGGATGAACAGCGTTCTGCAGCACCTGAAGCTGCCTCTCCAACCCCCCCAGCCTGTACAGCCAGCTGGCCAGCTGATCACCCGGCCAGCGGGTTCACCACCTCACAGTCGTCCAGCCTCACCTGCTGGTTCCCATGTATCCACCCCCTCTATCGCTTCAGGTGCATCTATACAGCGAGGGCCCAAGCTGACACCACCTCCTATGTATTCTGGGGAAGACCCCAAGGTGGATGTGTCAGACTGGGTCACCGCTATGCAAGCATACCTGGGCAGCTTTACATGCCCAGAAGCAACAAAGGTGTGGACCATTCTTGGCCGGTTGGAGAGGTCTACACTGAAATGGTGCACGTCCTCTGCAACCAAAGAGAACGTTGCTATGGATAGATGGGCACAGCAGCTGGGGGTGGCAGGGTTGCTGAAGGTGCTGCAAGACCGGTTTGCTGACAGGGAGCAGGCCCGTAAAGCAGCTGATAAAATTATGCTGTTGGGGTCTCACAGATTTGAGGGCTCTCTGTCCAAGCTCTACAGTCTATTTGAGAGCTTGACTTCGACACCGGGTTTGGAGATGAGTGAGTCTAACCAGCTCACCCACTTCCTGCGTGCAGCACCTACAAACTACTCGATTGCTTTGTATGCTCAAGGCCACAAGGACAGGAGGTCCTTCGGCAAAGCGGCACTGGACCTAGAGTCTCAGCTCAAGGTTC